CATGATTAATAAGCCAAGGGGAATTAATTATATTGATTAAACCAATAAACCGCTTGTGTTGAGGTTATCAATCTCAATCGTTTTCATCTTGATTTTATTGCTACTATCAAGTTAATATACGGCGCTTGTTCTATATTGACTCGGAAGTAAGTTTTATTAATGAACGCGTCTCGTTATTAATAACTACCCTCGATGAATTGGATATACTCCTCGATTGAGTATTCGAGAGGAAGATAGTTAAAGATATAACCGGGATCGACGAACATTTCATTAAGTGGATAAAAGCAAAACCAAGTCTTCTTCTCATTAAGTAAACCACATAACTCGTTCATCTTCGTGTTTAATTCTAATTAAATCACTCAAACCTGAACCCCCCCTTTTGTTACTAGTTAATTAAAAAGAGAAATATTCCTTTCCCTGTGGATACGAACCTTACTTCATTATACTACGTATAATTGTTGTATTGAATATTATTTTGAGTGCATACCACGACAAAGTGCACGTCAGATTCTATTTTAGATTTGTTTATCTTTGCATAAACACTTACATGTGCTACATGAATGCCTTGCCATCAATACTGACCGTAGCATGTAATATTTCCTTATTCGAAATATTAAATGAATGTTTTAAGGAAAGATTCTTGACCTACAAATGAATGGTTGCATATTTACAAGTTGACCGAATTATATTTGGCTATTTGCTGAGTAAGGATGTTTTCTTTTGGACTGAAATTTGCTGGTCTGGTCTGGTCTGGTCTGTTTAAGTCTGGTCTGGTCTGGTCTGGTCTGTTTAAGTCTGGTCTGGTCTGGTCTGGTCTGAACTGGTCTGGTCTGGTCTGGTAAACGTCTGGTCTCTGTGTATTTTATAACTACGGAAGTCTGGTCTGGTCTGGTCTGGTCTGTTTAAGTCTGGTCTGGTCTGGTCTGGTCTGTTTAAGTCTGGTCTGGTCTGGTCTGGTCTGTTTAAGTCTGGTCTGGTCTGGTCTGGGACTGAAAACAGTCCAAAAGAAAACATCCTAAACAATTTAGTCTCTTACTATACGGTTTTTAAAAGGCTCCTTGACTTAAATATATGTGATTCGGTACTAGCCTACATGATAAGTGAATGAACTGTCTTTCTATGTATATGAATGTTTATTCTTGGTTGTTGGCTTATACATGTTAAGTGCATAGATCTTCTATCTATATACATGCGGATATTTATTCCATTGGAAGCTCTTACAATATGATCCATGCACATATGAGATCATTGATTTAACTCTCAAGATGGAAAGCTTTTCAAAATGAAACAAGGCAAGTATGATTAATTGAATTGATCTACTCAAGGAAAGAAAGCCCTAACAGATTCATCTCAAGCAGCCTATATATTCGAACGGCCAAAGGTAAAAAGAAGAGAGCTTGACTGAGCCATTTTGAGAGATATCTACGACGGAACTCACAAGTTCAAGACACCTGAAACTGCTCACAAGATTTATAGATATAGTTTTCCATTCCTTCTTCATATTGTAATCGGGTTTGAAGATTAGCTGAGTGTAGCTTCCTCGGGTTGTGTTAAGTGTGTTGTGAGTGCTTTGTTGTAAGGTTGAGTGACTCTCTACCCGCAAGGTAGAGATGCATAACTCTTCCTAGAGAGGATAGAGTTGGGATGGCTCAAGGGTGGATTAGGAGAGTTTCCCTTGTAATCATTTAAAGACTTTTTAGTGAAGTTGTCAAAACTCCTCCGAGGGAAGTCGAGGTTTTTTAATCCCTTTGAGCCAAGGGATTTTTCCTCGTTAAATCCTTGTGCAGTTTACTATTTCGCATTTCCCGTCTCCCCACACTAGAACTTGGAAAAAAAATGTCATGGTTCCACAGTTACCCACACACACACAATTCAACCTCCTCTTGTGTTGCTAACCGTTTTATCAGCTTCTGTTCCAAATCGGGGACACCTCTACTGTACATACATGCATGGATAATACGATAGTACTACGTATTAACAATTATCATTCATATCGCTCGCCTCTCTCTATCACGTACTAAGATATGATTTAGTTTGAATATACGGATATAGTCGAATAATTAAGGTAACGTACAAGAATCAAAGAAATAAATGGAACAAAGAATGTATTGATAATAGCCGCGCATGTAAGTGTGCGTGGGTATTTGCTCTAAGACTATATATACGATTCCACATGAGGGATATTCTAAGCTATTTAGTGCTCCCCTTATCAAAAATAATCGAAAATCCAGTCTTCTTAGATCTTATTGAAGAATAATTGCTAGACTAATAAAGATTGGTGTGATTAAAAGAACATTTAACACCCCAAAATTAGTCATATTTCATCGTTTTCACAAAATTATAAATCCGCAAAAATCTCGCAATGTTCAGAGAATATATATTTTGAAAATTTATAATAAATTAAAATTAAATTTTATTTTTTTTCAAAAATTTATAAGTATTGTCAAAAATGAAAAGAAAAAATATATCGAAGTATCCCAAACAATCCAACAACGTTATACTCCGTATAGTGTTTTGGAAAACAACAGTATATGTTTTAAGAAATAGGTGAATTTTTTAAGTTATTTATTTTTCAATATAATGTTATTTATAACTCACTACGAAAACATGATTATAGGAAAAAAGTATTAGCTAACTTTGAGCTACAGTAAAAAAACTTTGAACTTATAATTCATAAGCGCCAATGTAAGAAATTTCCATACAAACTTTTCAAAATTTTGAAAATCGACATGAAATCATCTAAGTAATGATATAATTGTAAAGAAAAAGTATAGAATTTATATCATATTGACTTTAAAAAACAGAGCTTTCAATTTAATTAGTAAGTATTTACTAAATGTTTGAAATTTTAAGATTATATAACAAGATTCTAATAACACTCATAGATTTTAGGTTATTTGTCGCTTAGGTGGAATTTTGAATATTTTTGAAGTTTTATAATAGAGTATTGTAAAGTCTTTTTAAAAAATCAAAGTTTTTAAACTTTTTTTGAACTTTTTGAAAGTTTCGCATCTCAGAATATGTGTGGTTCGTTTTATATATTTGTTTAAGTATTTTTAGCGTCAAAATGTCAAAGGATGAAATTACGGGCATTTCGCCCAAAAGAGTTTAATTTCAACATGCATGAACTAATTATGTAACTAATCTTTTTTTTTTGACAAACTAATCTAGTTATTTTAATTAACTTCGCCCAAAACAGTTTAATTTTAGCTTGGGTCAGTTATAGGATGAAGAAAGGCTAGTTATTAAGGGGGTGTTTGGCAATTGGCTGTTGGCTGTTGGCCGTTGGCTGATTGTGTCAGCTGTTTTACAATAGTTGTTTCTGTTGGCTGTTTTGATTAGCTGATAGTATTAGCAGTTTGTTAAATGGTGTTTGGTTAAAATGGTTGTTTACAATCAGCTGATAACTTGTGAAATGACCTTTAAGGACATCAATTAATTATTTTAATTGTACACTTATATGTAATGATAATATATCTTTAAAAAATCATACTATTCTCTAAGAACGTCTTTTCCTTGCCATCAAACTAGTTGCAATATTATCACGAGTAACTGTCATTTCACGGACTCTCATATGCTCAACGCCTTGTCCAGAAGTAGACTCAACGTCTCGAAAGATATCATCTGGTATGAAATCTGGATCTCGATCAATGATATTAAAACCTGGATCCCCAATTGTGCTTTTCCGAATGTAGTTATGCAGTGCAAAACAAGAACAAATTATCTTATTCTGGTCACATAATGAATATATGGGCATTTTTTGTAAAATTCTCCACCGCGCCTTAAGAACTCCGAAAGCCCTCTCAATGCAACTTCTTAGAGATGAATGCGCTCGATTAAACACTTCTCGAGATCCCCTTGGATTTGCAGCACGAAATTCTGTTTGATGATATCTTGTCTTGAAGTAAGGTGTGAGATACCCTTGTCTTTCTGGGAAACCTTTATCAACTAAATAATATTTACCTATATGTACATAAAAATAATATGTTACAATATTTATTTGCCATGCGCTTAGTATAAATAAAATCAACTACCTGGTGGTGGTTTCGGAAAATTTAGACTTGGATTATTGATTGCATCGAGGAAAATGCGAGCATCGTGTGCTGTCCCCTCCCATCCAGTCAAAACATATGTGAATAATAAATTAAAATCACATGCTGCCAAGACATTTGTGGTTGGTATCCCTTTCCTCCCTCTATAACGCATTTGATCTTCCTCTCTAACCGTTATTGCAATATGGGTTCCATCAATTGCTCCAATGCAATCCTAATATTAAAATACCACTAAAAATATTATAGCAGTAGTTTAATGAACTAAATGGAATAACCAAAGTATCAAGTTACCTTAAAATGTGGCATATATCTAGTATCATTGACAATTTGTGCTGGAACCTCTTTGAACTCAGGGTCTTTAGGTTTAAGCATGTCCCTTGAAAATGCTACCATGACATTCAATACCTCTTTGAAAATTCTACTCACAGTTTCACCCGAATGTTGAAAACGTTCTTGAGTATCTCGATTAGAAGAACCCTTACTCAGAACATACACAAACAAGCCAAGTTTCTCCAAAGTTGACATCCTACTTGAAGCAACCAATCCATACTTTGTTTCCAAATCTGCACATAATTGACGAAACGTACTCGGATTCATTCTGAATGCATTAAAACACCGTTTTTCATGACCATACAATAGTTCATCCATCCATCGTTGGCCGGTTAAGTAAGATGTCATACAATGCTCTTTGTATATGTGATTCATAAAGTACACATACATATAGCTGGTTGTACAAGCTACCAAATCCCAAAATTCATCATCGTCATCCAAATACTCTTTAATTAGGATAAGTTTCCGAATGATTATATAGGTATCATCCATGCCTACAAAAATACAAGTACTAATACTGTAAGCCAATAATAATTAAAAAATATTGTTACACGGAATTTTAATAACATAGCAGAATCATAATGTCAATGCATTAAATCAAAACATGACAATCATATATAATAAACAAAATCAAAACATGACAATCATATATAATAAACTAATACAATTGTTGAAGTATTGAAATACATAACATATAAGCTCATAAAGAAGTTTCTAGATTAATAAAGTTTCGGAAATATGACAATCCATAACATAAGTTCATAATTGAGTTTAAAAGAGATAAAAATTGTAATGCTAACATAGTGATGTCTTTTTAATTCTTCTTCTGCTCAGCATATACAAACTTGATGTACTCAACTCTCATCTGGTCATTTGGTAACCCTAGGAGAATGCATCTTTTTTGTGGATCCTCAATCATCGTGCAAGCAAAATAAAATTCAGGTGTGCTTGGACCTAAATCCGGCAAAGCACATAGCTTTGCTAGTGCTTCAATAATTTCTCCATGCTTTGGTGTGACCATTGAGTCCATGACGTTCATCATTGACATATGCACTCCCTTAGATGTATTGTTCCTTTCTCCAATGAGCTGCATCATGTTATCAAGTTTGTCACCCAATGATTTAGTTTTACCTGCTCTCTTTGTGGTTTCAACCCGTGCACTCTTATTAGATTGTGGTGCATCACTCACTGCAACTCTCTTATTGCTCCTTCTTTCATCGGTTTCCATTTGTGTACCAATAGGAGAGAAAGGAGGGGGCTATCGTCTCTCCATACATCATCCCATGCTTCACGAGTATTAGAACTACTACCACCATATGAAGCATCTATGTCGTCAAGCTGATTGCGTGGAGTACCACTACGAGGTGGTGAAGGAACATACACATTATCACCTTCAATTTGCATATCCTCTTCTGTGAGATCACACACCGGAGTGTATTTTAATGCACCTTGGGCATAAAAACCAAACATTTGATCCATCTTAGATTCAAGTTCAGGTTCAATCCCTTCTTCGCGAAATGGCTTTAATGCGGAATTCTCCTATACAAAATTAAAGCTTAAAATAACTTCTAAGTACTTAAAATTAAAACATGTACTAAAACAAATTAAACAACAAAAAAAACTAACCTTAATCTTGAAATTCCACCACTCATCAGAGGCATCGATGGTTCCTTTTACAGGATCCCACCCCAATCCCGTCTCCTTTCCTTTCAATAGTTTCCAAAGACCCCACCTATGTCTCATCCAATCCACCTTATGCTTAAGTTTATCTTTATCCCAATGAAGGTTTGTATGTTTGACAAATTCAGCTTGTACTTTCTTCCATGCTAACCTTTGACCAGTTACTCCACCACTTTTTCCCTTATTCCTTTCAACATTTTGCATGCAGAGGTCACAGAGGAGGTGTACTAACTCTTTTGTCCAACTAACTCTACCTATAGTTGCACTTTGTTGACTTTCGGCGTTCTTATTTCGACTTCCTTGACTATCATTTAGAAATTTTTTTCGAGCTAGATCCATCTAAATAACATAGTACTAAATTAATAATTTATGAAATATTTATAGAAAATAAGCAAAAAACTAATATCACTATTTACTACTTAGTACATTATACTATGTGTTACCAAACTAATTTAATAACATTCCTTGCTTTAATAATTATTTTACTTTAGTAAAACTTTAACCACGTTTAGTACTATCCCGAGTATTACTCTCATTTTAGCCGAGGTTTAAAAAAATACTAATATGCATTAGCTATATCACTATATCATTACTCACAAATTCAGAATAACAATCTTAGTTCACTATTTCTCCCAAGAATCATATCCTAATAGTCTTTTTTTAAAGAACCATATCTTAACCTTTGATGACGTTTACACTTATTTGAGCTACAATTTGCATTATACTTCCTAATATAACTATAAAAGTGATCTGAAGCTTTTCTCATACCCTGTTCATTGATTAATTCCTTTGACAGATCAATTGCATATACGAAGTAGTATATAATTATCTACCAGCTATGTACTACTATATTATTATACATTCTAAAACAACAATAACAGCTGCACCATTTGCACTTATTTTAGGACCAAAATAGCATGATGCTCCTAAGTAGTTGTCAAAATAACCGATGTGCGCAGGGAGAAGCTAGAAATCCTAGAATACTGTTTTTTCATGTAAAAAAATATAATAAAGCAGCAAAATAGAAAAGGACACCACACTTTCAAAGGAGAGGCAATCCGTTTGATGATAAACTGGTATTCTAGCATCACAATTCATACTAGTCTTATGCATGAATAGTTGATTAACAACATGACATAACATTACATTCAAAGGGGCAAAGAGGCAGTCCTTCTAAAGTAGGCTTTTCGGGTTTGACAGATAGTTTTATCAGCAAGCTATTTACATTCCAGTTTTAATAAAATGTTATATAGACAAATTTAAAATGTTATAAAACATTAGTCATATTTCAGTATCCTTTACCTACCGTGAGGTCAAACCAAACTCAACTAACTTTCATTGGCATAAGAAAAATGATCAAAACTAACCAATGAAACTGAAGGTAACATGTTTTCAATGTTACGAACATGTTTGAATTCAGCAAGTTTGATGCCACGTTTCAATGTTATCAATGATACTGAATTACATGTTATCAATCAAAGGAAAAAAAGTTATCAATTCAATGTTATCAATGAAAGAAAAAAAGTTATCTTTCAGTCAGGGCCGGTCCTAGGGGGGGTGCAACAAGGGCGATCGCCCTAGGCCCAAAAAAATAGGATGGAAAAATAGGCCCAAAAAATTGTCTTCATATATAGCGGGAGTAGGCTTCTTTTTGTATTTAAGCTCAAGTAATTAGGCCTAATGTTTAATTTTGTTGAAAAATTAAAAATTTTAAAACAAATGTTAAAAGGCATGTGGCACGCCTCTTTGAGTAGTTAAAGTCTCTTCACATCTCTATGTTTTAAAACAGAACCCCAGTGGTGGGTTCTGTTTCGTTGATCGATATTTAGAGATTACTTTCTGTCTTGAAATAGGCCCAAGATAATATCTCGCCCATAGGCCCCAAAATCGACAGGACCGGCCCTGCTTTCAGTCAATGTTTTGATACTGAATTCAATAATAGTGAAACCAAACTCAACTAACTTTCCATGAGGTCTAACTTTCCGTGGAGCTGTTATCCATGATCAAAACATACCTAAAGAAAACAAGCTCCACTTTCCTAAAGATTCATAGCAGCATTACTAGATTCAAAATAAGAGCAACTAATAACAAACTTTTACACAACAAATTTTAGAAATTAAGCCTGCTCTAAATATGCACTTAATATAAACATACTGGAGCATATATTGTTAATTTATCATCCATAAGCTTTTTAATACTCCGTAATTATTATCTAAACCCGTAATACACCAAAAAGTGAAGTTTTTTAAACTTAATTTCAGGCTCAAATCTCATGTTTTCAGAAAGTTTACGGGCATTTAGGGGGTGTTCAAGAACAGGGCTTTGTATCTAACAAGAAATCAAAATTGAAAGTATCTTTTCAGAGCTCTATATCAACAAGAAAGTTTACAGCCCATATATAAACAACAGAAATTACTAATCAGTTTGGAAAAAGAATTGCAGAACAAGAAATTAAAATTGTCTTCTCAAAGCTCTGTATCATCTTCATTCTTTATGCGTGTATTATGTATAAACACTTTACAGAAGTTCAAGAGATGGTTGCGAGTGAAACCTACAGAGTATGTTCTCAGATTTGAAAGAGATTGGACATACCTTGGAGGAAGGGAAATCGCAGCTCTCAGAGGAGTGAAGCCTGCAAGTACGACTGTGCGAGTAATATCAGAAGCCGCGAGAAAGAAACGGAACAAGGGTATCGTAGGAATATTATGAAGGAAATCGAAACGCCGATACCTAAACGCTATGTTTATTGGCTTTTTTTATTTTGGCTGTTTGGGACAAAAGGCCAACTTAAAAAGTTATTTTACCAAACACACATATTAGCTGATTGATCAAGTCAAAAGGCCAATATTGGTCAAATCAGCCAAAAAATGGCTGATAGGCCATTAACCAAACACCCCCTAAGTTTTGGAATTTTGTGGCCGGAGTAATTCAAGAAATGTAGAGCACTTTGACCACAACTTCAGGAATCACGAAGGATTAATTAAGGCAGAAATATTGACAAACATTGAAACATATGATCAAAATAGATGTGATATACGGAGTATAAAAATGTGATTTTATATTTTAGTGGTTATGATAATAACTTTAGTGGTCATGATTATGTTCAACACTACACTATAGTGACTATTTATTTTGTCCTGGTAGGCAAACCATCCACTGATGGGGCAAATGTCGGGAAATATTTGCCAAATTTTATTAAAAATAAAATGAAAGTACAAAGATAGAGAGGAGAGCTAGACCAATACCTCTTCAAAGAAGACATAACTTTTTAAAATACAATGACAAATTAATGACAATAAAAGAAGGACCGACCAATTTAAAAAATATATCGAAATGACCAAAGAAATCATAAACCTCGAAAATTCGAAATGAGGGAATATTAAAAAAATCCTGGTTCATTGCAATTTTTACCTAAATAGGTAAAGAATTTTCATCGGTCCAGTTTAAAATTTAATTTGGGCCGCATGAATATTAGCCAGAAAATAAGCTGGTCGATTGCCTAGCTTCAAGCAAACCCTGTCAGATAGATAACTTGCAATATATAAAGGGATAAGAATAATACCAAGTTTGTAATAATACTCTCTGTTTGTCCCCCTCCCTGAAATTAGTTCATTTAACATACCAAGTTCGGGAAAATTGTCCGAGGATTTGAGTTGAAGCACAAATGCCTTCGAGCTCCAACTTGAAACATATTCATTGCATCTTTATCCTAGACTTTGTGTAATAACATTTATCCACTAAAATATAGGTGACTGTGTGATGAAGAATCAAATGGATACTCAATAACTGTATCTTTGCACCATACTAAAGCACAATATGAAATTGGCTATACATAATATGGCAAAAGAATTAATTTGTGTTCATGGTAGACGTATTCATAGAAGGGTTCTTAAGTTAAAACTAATAAAAAAAGAACATGTTTACGAAGTTATATACACATTGGAACACATATATGCACTCTAAACTGCATAAATGGTGTATGACTAACTTTTTTACTTGTCTTTAATATTCTGGTTTAGTCAAATTAATCAGTTTATTATGTTGTTATTATACCACTGTACAGGTGAAGTAGCTTTCTTGTTGCACTTTCCTAAGCTAATCTATTAGCTATGTTCGTGCACATTTAAGCCCTTTTCCAGTTCATTTCACTAGTAGAATACTGGCTTACAGTGACATTTTTATAGTGACACTTTCTGAAATGATGCTACTAGTAACACAAAAGTGTCACTATTATGTAACACAAATACATTAACATCTTATAAGACACTTTTTACGGAGTATTAAAACTTTTCTACTAATGGGCCGGCCTGCGAATTGTAATATTTCAACACTTGCGTTTTTCCCCAGTACCCTCCCGTTTCGGTTTACATCAGCTCAACTCATTCCCTTCTTACTACAAACCCTAACATATGGATTATCAGCTTTCATAGTCTTGCCCTTCAGGACTCCATCTCCGCGCGCAGCTCAACTCTTTATTCCCTTCTTTGTTCATCTTTCATAGTCTTGCCGTTCAAGACTCCATCTCCGCGCGCAGCTCAACTCATTATTCCCTTCTTTGTTCATGGAATCTTAAGTCAGAGATCCTTCCCGTTGCTAGCCACTAGTCCTCGTCGTCGCCATCCCATCGCCTCCTACCTACCACATCTCCGGCTGCACCTGTCGTCGTCTGCCTACCAGGTCTCTGGCTGCACCTTTCGTTGCCTGCTTACCAAGTTGTTGGCTGCACCTGTCGCTCCAGCCGAAGTCGGCACTTCACATCTTCAAGAATTCATTTGAATATCTTCTTGATTGAAATTTTAGCTGAAATTTGGTATGAGTAAACTAGACTTAATGAATAAGATGCTCAAAAAAATTCATCAAAAAATTCCACCAGGAACCGGGAACCGCCCCAAATGGCGACGGCCGGACAGAGCTTCCTATATAAGGGCTTACTTGATCTTTTATGTAAGTTCGAGGGCCTATCTGACCCTTTTCCCTAATGGGAAACAAGAAAGAAAGAGAAAAATGGAAGTCATGGAAAAAGATGGAAAGGAGACTATTGACAGGGAGAAAGAACAAGAAAGAGAAAAAAGGAAATAACAAAAAAAATAAAAAATAAAGTAATACAAAAACAAATGGACTTCTACATGGACCAATAAAAGAATGACCGTCTGTTTACCGCTCAAATTATAGATCTGGTCAATTTTTCTAAGTTGATGGACTTGATCGATACAAAGAATAGTAGGACCCAATTATTTTTTTCGTAAAAGTACAAGGATGTATTTAATGTTTGTCCTTTATTTCATTTATGTGATAGCATCGACATTACATATGGCGTCATGATATTATACAGTTTGAATATATGAAACATTATTATTGTCACATCAACATTCACTTCCTCTTGAAAAAAAATAACTTTAGATAATAGCAACTATCACTCATCAACCAATAATAATACTAATACATAATTTGAAAATGATTTCTACTTATACCAACTATTTGAATGTAAAACAGAAATAAAATGGAGTCACTTCTAAACAAGAAATCTAGTCATTTAAGACATCGAAAACTTTGCCAAACCATCAAGTAAATGACATTCATAAATACACCACTTATTTGATATTATAATATTAGCTTTTTGGTGAACTAAAGACTAAATTTTTTATGAAAAAAATGTTCTATAACATTTTTTACTATATTTAAATAGTTTGTATTATTACAAGTTATTTCCAAAATACGTATTATTTTTAAATTTTAATTAATGGAAGATAGTTTGTATTATTTAAAGTTATTTTCTATATTAAAATATTATCTATTTACTATATTTTATTACTACCTAGTAAATAGACGGACGGATCGCAGTATTAAACCATCATTTCTAAAACTGTTGTGAGTAATGTAAATATTATGAGTAATGTAGATTTATGCCATTAACCAAATGCTTCGGTAACTTTTTATAAAAAATGCATTCTTTTTTATGAAATATATGCTAAATTGTTTTTTTTAAAACATAAGATTACTGTTACTTTTTTTTTTCTGAATTTGAAGAAAAGGTCTATTTTAGCTATTTTGGTAAAGTATATGCTTTTATAATTCGGCACATTTAGACAATTTCATCATTATTTCATAAAATTTAAAAGTATTAGTCAATTCAATCAATTTCACCGTTACTATAAGGATTGTTCAACTCTTGAGCACATTTCTAATGTACCACTCATTCGTATCTCATATATTATCATGTGAAGGTATTATATTAGATCGAATGCAAGCCAACAATATTTAGACATGTACTAGATATATATTTATCACAGTGTTAATGATTCTTTTTCTTATAAAATTAGGAAAATAGAGGCTAGCCCGTGGGTGCATTTGCATTTTTTATTTTATTTTGGGTCCTCTTTCATGATGAGGAAATATTAAAAACTCTAAATCATTCTTACTTAATCAATTTAGTATCAACCACATAAACTACTCCCTCCGTCCCATTTATATTGTCTCGTTTTACCTTTTCGAGAAGTCCTACTTAAATTGTCTCATACCATATTTGGCAAAGTTTGTGTGGTTCTAAATCATTCTTACTTTATTCTTACTTTATCAATTAATATCAACCACACAAACTCATTTTTCTTAATAACCGTGTCACCCTCTTCCGGGACAATATAAATGGGACGCAGGTAGTACTTTTTATTAGTTTATGTGTCACGATCTCTTGTCTCATTGTTAGTGGGACGGAGGGAGTAAAAGTTATCATATCAAATCCACATCTGGTGTACATATTTCAAAAGAAAATGATTGAACATTTATTCAATTGTGCAACGCTTATCTAAGAAACGCATCTAAGAAACTAGTTGATCGAGATAAAAGTGAACATCTTCAACCATGATTACAATTTATACAAGATTGATAGAAATTGATATAATCTGGACTGACAAGATGGTTGGGCTCTGCCACTGGAGAAGGCGGGCGTATCAAAGAGCTACTGCGAATAGAAATATGCATTTTCTCTTGCTGTATTTCAAACGGAATTGGAAGGGAGGGAAAACCCCAACCTGAGTTGAAAACAGTTGAAGCCAGCTTTCCAGAAGGCCGGTCATGAACCTTCGTTCTCACTTAAACTGATTGGTTGTCCACCACCACCACTTAATTGCTTCCTGCAATAAACAGGTCCATAGTACTCTTTCTTATTTCAGTTGTAACAAAGTGGGTCACAAACTGATCAAAGAGCTACAAACAGTTCAGATATCGCTGATTCCCTTTTGTTCTCAACTAAAGTTAGAATATGGAATGCCGAATTTCTTTCGATTGACACTCGTCACCTACACGCCAATACTTATACTCCGTATTTAATTCATCCTATGTTGGCATGGAAGTTAATTGTGTTTCCACTGACACGAAAATTAGCATGAGACCATTACGAGTTAGAGCTAGTTCATATAGTCACGTTCCATTGCAAAACCAGTATTGTGAAGTCATGACCAAATGTTTTGTGTGCATGCACTACCTATCTTATGTCACTCACTAGATGACTGATCTGGATGGAGGCTTAGTCTATGGCTATGTTTGGCGGACATAAGTCTCTAACTTCTGGCTTTTGTACTATTTAAAAAGTCTCTAAAAGCTGCTAGTTGTTTGTTTGGCATGCCGAATTTTAAGAGCTTTTCAAAAAATAAAAGATCTTTTTTGAGATGTTACAGGTAATAGCATCTGAGAAAAGCCTGTGACTTTTAGCTTTAATTAATCCTAATAGCTTGTATACCAAACAGAACTAAATCAAACTGTCAGCTTTTTACCAAACAGCTACCACCTTTTACTTTTAAAATCTTTTCAGTCACTAAAAGCTATCAGTTACTAAAAAGTTCACTAAAAGATATTTTCAGCTAATTGTGTCAAACATAATCTATGTATTAGTATGCATTTCAAATTAAAATATTAACCTGATCGTATAGTCTCAATCACCTTTTATTCCCTTTTAAATTAAATACTCCGTACATAATTAGATTTATGCCCTGCATCCGAACAGACCTAAGGACGAAAACAAAAGATATCAGATGCGAATGCTGCAACATACCTCCGTAACACAAGCGTTTCATCATATAGTGCCTTCTCTAATCTCTCCTCAAAAGGCGTTGAATGCCAAGTAATTTTCTGATCCTGCAACATCAGCCCTTAATTTTTTAGACAAGGCAAAAAGGTCATAACAATCCAAAATAAAGAAGCAAGTCAAACCTCGTTGTACTTGGTAGTCGTATTTGGAATTCCATTTATGCCCTGCCACTCAGGTGAGACGTTTGAAGTGTCATTATCATACCAGTGAGCAGAAGAAACCATCCCAAGTATAGGACTCCCATCGCCTGGAGTTCCGCTAAGACGAACGATTCCACCTGAATGTAAATCGTTATTATCTTCTTGGTTAAAAGGTGGTTTCTGCCAAGAAGGCTGACTTGTTTCCAACTTCAATTCCTTCTTTGATGTGGTGATTTCTCTGTCGATCCCTGAGTTAAGGTTTATTTCCATTGAAGTAGAGTTTTCATTGGACGTAGACCCATTATCCACCAATTCCTTCATTTGAGATTCTTCATCTGCCAGGTTTCTGGTAGAAACCACATATTGGTACCTGACATTAGAAACTTTTCCATTTGCCATACTGTTAGCGCGTGCTGGGAATATAGTGCCAGGAGTTTGCATGTCATCTGTCAGTTTCAAGGGGGTAGGGAAGGGTGAAAAATGGGATTTCAGACGGCCAAATTTGGATGAAAATGCCTTTGCCGAAACTGAAGGATACGAGTCAACTTCGAAACGAACAGATTTATTGATGCGTGTTGAACTGGGAAGAGTTGCAGGTGAAACT